TGGGTATGAAGTAGGGAAGGCCTCCTGGAGGGGCGCCTGGGTGGCTCAGTCGGTTAAGCGTCTGCCTTCGGCTCAGGTCATGATCCTGGGGTCCTGGGATCGAGTCCCGCATCGGGCTCCTTGCTCAGTGGGGAGCCTGCTTCTCCCACTCCCCAACCCCCCGCTCCCGCTCTCTCTCACTAACTGTCTCTCTCTCTCTCTCAAATAAATAAATAAATAAAATCTTAACAAAAAAAAAAAAAAAGGCTTCCTGGAGTAGGGTGGCCTCTACTCTAATAGGTGTTGGGGGGCCAAAGAAGGAGGTAAGAATCACCTCAAGACAAAGCCTCAATTCCTTAATATAGCAGGAAAGACTCTTCATCAGACTCCTGCCTCCCTCCTCACATCACATCTGCCTCCCCAACACTTGTTCTGTTTTGGCCATCCTTAAGTACTACCAATGTCTCAAGCCTATTATATTATTTCTCCTTCCTTTCTTCTTTTTCTTTTTCTTTCTTTCTTTCTTTCTTTCTTTCTTTCTTTCTTTCTTTCTTTCTTTCTTTCTTTCTTTTCTTTCTTTCTTTCTTTTTCTTTCTTTCTTTCTTTCTTCTTTCTTTCTTTCTCTCTTTCTTTAAGATTTTATTTATCCATTTGACAGAGAGAGAGAGAGAGAGGGAGAGCACAGCAGAGGGAGAGGAAGAAGCAAGCTCCCTACCGAGCAAGGAGCCCCGATGTGGGGCTCGATCCCAAGACCCTGGGACCATGACCCGAACCAAAGGCAGCCGCCCAACCAACTGAGCCACCCAGGTGCCCCTTATTTCTCCTTTCATATTATATTCTTTGCACCTTCTTCTCCCTCTATCTGAAACATTTTTTTCCCCACACCTTCTGCCCTATCCCCACTCCTACCACTCACTTGTTCTGCAGGACCAGCTTAGGTATCACCTCCTTTGAGAAGTCTTCTCTGACCCCCAGGCTATATCAGAGGACTCTACTCTCATAACTTAGATGACGCACATACTTCTCAGCTCCAGTCTCCATCTCCCTGGTCCTCTATTTTTGTACTTAACCTACTGTATCGTCACTGTTTGTTTATATGTTTCTGTCCCCCACTTGATTGTCTTCTTCCTAAGTGGGGATCTTATCTGTTTCAGGTCCTAGCACCCAGTAAGTGCTCAATAAATGCCCACTGAGTAAAAGAATGACGTAGCAGGTGAACCACGTTAGAGGAAATAAAGGAAGAAGGGAATATGGCTCCAGAAGCTTTTGGAAATAACTTGTGAGCAGCTCAGAGGAGCCGAAGCATAGAAAGTAGTGGCAATGACTACAGAGTGAGCTAACAGAAATAATATGTGCCCAGAGCTGTACTAAGTAATTCTCTTATACCAGCTCATTTCCTGCTCACAACAACTCTGTGAGGCAGGTACTATTATTCTTCCTATTTTACTGATGATCTCAGAGAGGCCAAAAGGCATCCCCTAAATCTAACGGCTAGCCAGTGGCAGAGCTGAGATGTAAATCCAGGCAGCTCTACCTGAGCCCGTGTCCTCATCCCGTATCACACTCCATACCACGTCTGCTCTGGGTCCTGGAAGGAAGGAGTGGACTGAGAACACCAAGATGCTCCCTAGGATTTATAGCCCAGGAAAGAAGACAAGGTATTGAAGGTGACAATGGAGTTACAGCAGGAGGCAAAGTTCTATTGGTTTTGTAAAAAGACTAAGAGTTCATTTCTAGCATCTCAGAAGGCTTTTCAGAAGGAGGTGGTGTCACAGCAGGGCTTTGAAGGAGTGGGGAGAATTTGGAGAAGTCTGGAGAAAAACAACCAAAGAATAAAATATACATAAAAAGGATAATACCTCATAAAGAAGTTGTTTCATCTCAGTAATACAAGGTTAGTTTGACACTAGGAACTTAATGCATTTGCCACATTAACAAGTTAAAGATGGAAACTTGTATGATCATTTCATTAGGTTATGATAAAGGATTTGAAAGACTCAAAACATTTATGATAAAAACTCAGTAAATTAGGAATAAAAGGAATCTTACTTAATCTAATAAAGGGTATCTATTAAAAAATACAGCAAACATCATGTTTAATGGTAAAAAGGTGAAAACTTTCCTTTTTAAATCAGGAAAATTATAAGAATACTTTTTAAAAAATCATTTCTCTTCACACTGTACTAGAGGTTGTAGCCAGAACAATAAGTTAAGAAAAAGAAACTATAGGGGCGCCTGGGTGCCTCAGTCGGTTAAGCATCTGACTCTTGATTTCGGCTCAAGTCATGACCTCAGGGTTGTGAGATCGAGTCCCACATTGGGCACTGTGCTGGGCATGGAGCCTGCTTAGGATTCTCTCTCCCTCTTCCTCTGCCCCTCCTCCCCAAAAAAAGAAACTATAAAAATTAGAAAGGAAGAAATAAAAGTCACTATCTACTAATGATATGACCATGCATATATAAAATTGAAAAGAATCTACAATTATTGGAATAAATAAAAGTTTATTAAGGTTTCTAGATACAGAATCAATGTAACAAAATTATCATATTCTTATACAGCAATAAGCTGTTAGAACATGGCATTTCTTTTAAATACTATTTTCAATAACATTTTAAAATATGAAAGGCCCAAGAACGTCTGGGTGGCTCAGTTGGTTAAGTGTCTGCCTTTGGCTCAGGTCATAATCCCAGGGTCTTGGGATCGAGCCCCACATAGGGTCTCCTTGCTCAGTGGGGAGCCTGCTTCTCCCTCTCCCTCTGCCTGCCACTCCCCCTGCTTGTGCTCTCTCTCTCTCTGACATAAGAAATAAATAAAATCTTTAAAAAATGTATGAAAGGCCCGGCGGTGGGGGGGAATCTATCAAAGGGTGGGCAAGATGTCTAGAGATAAACTTATAAAACTCTGAGAGGTACCAAAGAAGACATAAATAAATGAAGAGATATATGCTATCATGCATTGGATGATTCAGTATTGTGAAGATGTCAATTCTCCCCCAAATCATTAATACATCTAATGCAATACCAAACAAAATCCTATCAATCTGATAAAGGGATTCTAAAATTTATGTATAGAAGTTCAACATATAAACATAGCCAAGACACTCTTGAGGAACAAAGTGGGAAGACTTGATTTGCAAGCTATAAAGATGTATTATTATAAAACTATACCAATTAAGATAACACGGCATTGGTGCAGGGAGAGAAAAATAGGCTATTGAAAATAGAATAAACATATTTACTGTAAGTCAGACATATCACTGCAGATCAGTGAGGAAGGGCAGAATTCTAATAAGTAGTGCTGGGAAAACTGGATATCCACGTAAAAGAAACTAATCTTGACCTGTACTTCACACCATACACCTAAAGGCAAAAGACAAAACTATAAAGCTTTTGGAGATTAATTGGAGAACGTCTTCATGATCCCAGGATAGGGAAGGATTTCTTAAACAAGGCACAAAAAGCATGAACTAATGGAAAAGATTTATAAAGTTGACCATCTTAAAATTAGGAACTTCTGTTTATCTAAAAAGAAGATAAGGAAAGTGAAAAGATAATATTTGTGTGTTCCGTGTTCAGGAAATCAGGAGGAGAAGATTTGGCTGAGACTGGAGTACATGGAAAGATAAGGCTGGAAAGTTCGGCAGGAGCTGAGCCAGGAATACCAGGCTCCCACCACTTGCTGGGGAGGCAAGAGCTAGAATCACTCTGACGTTACGGGCTTCTTTTCATCTTCCCTAAATTGGGCTGTGTCAGTGTCTACAGGGGAAAATTTTGAGTAAGATTCTTATCTATTCCTTGCCTCCCCTTCAGGATTATACTCAATGTCAACTGTCATTCTTCCTGCTGCAGGGGTCACTTCTGTTTGCTGCCCCCCAAAGCCAAGCCCCGTTCTTATCTCTTCCACCTACTGAATACACACTCTGTTCTGGCACTTTGCATGAATCACCTCATTTATCCTTATAGGATGGTTTAATAGTTAAGAAAGCTCATGTTTTGGGTGAACAGGTCAGTTCACTGTTCTCTGCCTCTGTACCCTCATCTAACAAATGCGAATAATGGCTGTTTCTTTGTACTTTCCATAGGGCACTAGTGAGAATAAAACATGTAGATTCTGCTTAATACAGAGCCCGGCACATTTGTAAGTTCTCAGTGCATGTTACTAGTCCACATCCTAAGCAGGAAGTGATCTCTGAAGGGACCACACTCCATTGTTATCTGAGTTGGGTCTGGTTGGTTAAACTGCCTGTCTCCAGTAACTAACAGGGGAGGGAGAGGTCTGGTCTTCTGAAGTCCAGCTGGGCACACCGCCAGTCCCTGGCTCAGCCCAGCCTCTCCTCACCCACTGGGGCTGCACCGGTGCTGGCCCCTGCTCAGCTTCCTGTCTCCCTTATCTTCCCCTGGCATGTGCTCTCTGCAGTGGGAAATGCTACCACTGGCTCCCTTCACTTCCCTCTACTCAGCAGGCCCTTCGTTCTTTAGCTCTCAGGCAAAGTTCGGCTGCTGGCCCTATGCCCACTCTGCTCTGTGATTTTCTGCCCCTCGCCCACCCAGGCCCGATAGCCTAGGCTCTGGCTCCAACTGCACCCTGTCTTTTCTCTTCCTCATCCCACGCCTGAGTTTAGAAGGGGAAGGGGGATGCCCGTCAAGCTGTCCCCACTCACCAGCTTCCCCACCCCCAATACTCTCTTTACATTCCCTGTACCCAAACCCACACCCTTTTGTTTTTGAGTTCAAATCCCTCCTCTGCACTTGCATGGTGTATGACCTTGGGCAAGTTACTTAGCTTCTCTGGGCTTGAGTTAACTCATCTGCAACATGGAGACAATGAGCCTGGTGCTATCCTCCCCAGAGAAAATGATAAAGGCCTAGCACACAGTATGAATTTTGGGCATGTTTTATATTATGTATAACAAATATCCAGGAGTGTTGGAGGTGTGTGCTCAAAAATGATGGAGAGTGATCCCCCAAAACTTTTGAGACACTATGTGTAGTTAAATTCACAAACTTTGGTATCAGAGAAACATGGGTTCAAATTATAGTTTTTGCTGTGTGGCCTTAGGTAAGTCACTTACCCTCTCAGAGCCTCAGTTTATTAGGAAAATGGTGATGTTAATGAAACCCACCTCAAAAGACTGGCATATGGATAAAATGAGATTATTTATGTAAAGAGCTTAATACTGTTCCTGGCCCACTATAAGTATTAGCTATAACAATAATCATTGTCTCTGCTATTTGATTTTTGGGGCACTGGTGTGTAAGGAGGATGCTTGGGAAGTAGCTGTTGCTGTAGTCATCTCTGTCTATGACAGATCTTAGCTTGGTGGGAAAGACCCGTCTGTGGATGGTGGTGAGGATCACTTTAACCCCAGGGATGCAGGCCCTACCTGCATAGATCAGACTGACAGCACTCAATTCTAAATTGGTTCAATCATCTACTTTATTACCCTCCATCCCAAGGCAGTCTTCAAGCCCTCAAGGGAGAAAATAAGGCAAAGCAAAAATATGTACAAACTCACTAGGAATCAGATAAAGCACAGCGAAACCAAAATGAAGTGCCATTTTATACCCAACCATCTGACAATGCCAAGGGTTGGCAAGGATTTGGAGTGAGGGAAATCTCGTGCGCTGTTGGGAATGTAAATTGGCCCAAACATCTTGCAAAACATTTTGGCAATTTTTAGTAACGTTGAAGATGAATATACCTATGACTCAGCAATTCTACTCCCATGTTTGCACCTACAAAAACTCTCCCACGTATGTACAAGAAAACACATACAAGAAAGTCATACCAGCACTTTGTAATAGCAAAAAAACTGGGGGGAAAAAAAACCCTTAACAGAAGAATGGATAAATAAATTGTGGTATATTCATAAGATGGCATTATAAAGCAGGGGAAATAAATGGACCTGCATATAATAATATGGATCAATCTTATTAATATGTTAGGTGAAAGAAGTAAGTTACAGAGGCATACATGCACTTCAGTATTATTTATACAAAGCTCAAACATGCAAACCACCATTACATATTGCTTAAGAATATATGCATATGTAGTAGAATATCCAGAAATGAGGAAATGAGAAATAGTGAATTCTTTTTTTTTTTAAGATTTATTTGAGAGAGAGAGCATGAGTAGGGGGCAGGGGGCAGGGGGAGAAGCAGACCCCCGGGATCATGACCTGAGCCGAAGGCAGATGCTTAACCGACTGGGCCACCCAGACATGCGGAGAAATGGTGAATTCTGATTAGTGGTTACTTTGGTGATGGGGCAGGGGAAGAAAGGCACAGTCAGGGAGTATAAGGGTCTTTGATTATATTGGTAACAATTTATTTCTTCCACTGGGTAGTGAGGACAAGTATGTTTGTAATAAAATTCTTCAGGTGTGAAAAATTCTTCAAATATGGAATATTTCATAATAATTTTTTATGAAAGCAAAAACAGTATAATTCACAGTGATTTAAGACCGTCCACTTTTCCTGAGTCGCAGTCCAGGAAAACAAGGCCCCCATTTTCCTTCCGACTAGACCATTTTGGCAAGCTGGAAAAATATTTGGTTATTTCTAAACTCGCCTACCATGACTGAGAGGTGAGCATGGACGCTCTTGCATATATATATTCAGAGAATGGGAGCCTAGTATGTATCCAAGGTTTGCCCTGATTCCACTATGACGTCAACTCTCCCTCCAAGGAACAGTATATAAAATAAAGAAGTTAAAAGCCCCACCTCAGCCCTTTATCTAATCCCATTTCCCAGAGCTAATCTCTATTGACAGCCACCGCCTGGTATTCTTCCTATGTATATACCAATACACAGACAGAAGTAAAATTTTAAACTAAAACTAGATGGAATTATCCCGTATGTATTGGTCCACACTTCATTCTCACTTATCAATGTCTCATGTCAGTACATCAACTCATATGATCTGCCACGTTCTTCCACCATAATTTATTACTTAACCTTTTATTTTTATTTTACTTTTATTTTTTTTAAAGATTTTATTTATTTATTTGACAGAGAGAGAGAGCGAGAGTGAGCACACAAGCAAGAGGGAGCAGCAAAGGGAGAGGGAGAAGCAGGCTTTCCGCTGAGCAGGGAGCCCAATGCGGGGCTCCATCCCAGGACCCTGGGATCATGACCCGAGCTGAAGGCAGACGCTTAACCAACTGAGCCACCCCTTAACCTTTTATTTTTAATTCTACACAAGATATATCATCACATTTTAGGAGCAAAATTTTCAAACAATACAGCTAGAGTGATAAAACCCTTCACAAAATAGATGGAAAAGGCCTTCCACAAGATTGCCAGCCCAACACACACACACAAACACACACACATACCACACACACATACATATTCACACACACATGCATACTTGCATTCACACACACTCATCCCAACACATACACACACATATACTTTTAACCTCGGGTTCCACCCTGATAATAAATCACTGGAGATAAAGCACTGTTATATTTGATGTACATCCTTCCAGATTCCTTTACTCCCATGAAGAAATAGGTTGTTTAGCTTTTGGCTTTCAGCTCGGGGAGGCAAAGGTGCAACTTTCTTTGGTCCTCCCGAATCCGGGTTCATCCGACACCAGCCACCTCCGCCATGCCGCCCTAAGTTCGACCCCAACGAGATCAAAGTCGTGTACCTGAGGTGCACCGGTGGTGAAGTCGGTGCCATGTCTGCCCTGGCGCTGAAGATCGGCCCGCTGGGTCCGTCTCCAAAAAAGGTTGGGGATGACATCGCCAAGGCAACCGGTGATTGGAAGGGTCTAAGGATTATGGTGAAACTGACCATTCAGAACAGACAGGCCCAGATTGAAGTGGTACCTTCTGCCTCTGCCCTGATTATCAAAGCCCTCAAGGAACCACTAAGAGACAGAAAGAAGCAGAAAAACATTAAGCACAGTGGAAATATCACTTTTGATGAGATTGTCAATATTGCCCGACAGAGGCGACACCGATCTTTAGCCAGAGAACTCTCTGGAACCATTAAAGAAATCCCGGACACTGCCCAGTCTGTGGGCTGCAATGTAGATGGCCGCCACCCTCATGACATCATAGATGACATCATAGATGACATCAACAGTGGGGCAGTGGAATGCCCAGCGAGCTAACTACAAAGCAAAATGTTTCAATAAAGGATCATTTGACAACCAGTGGAAAAAAAAAAAAAGAAAAGAAATAGGTTGTTTAGCGGTCATGTGTGTGGTTGACACATAAATTGTTCTAAACCTAATGTCCTGCAACTTACTCTTAGAGATTATACATATCTTAACTATCTCAGTCATCTGTTAGCTGATATTATTTATTGTATTACTTATTATGTGCACTATTCCAAGCAAGGTAGCAAACAAGATGGACAACCTCTTGGGGCTCACATTCTGGTGGGACATTCAGACAATAAACATATAAATGAATAAGTCATATAATTTCAGGTAGTATTAAGTAATAGGAAAATAGAGTGGAGATTAGGCAGGGGAGGTTTGTTTGGTTTTGTTTTTTGTTTTGTTTTTTACTACTACATAGTATTCCACAAGACGGATTACCATAGTTTGGGGGAGTGACTTCCAAATTTTTCCACTTGCTTCCCAGAGTAAGAAATACATTTTAAACTGCCATTCAAAACCCATCACAGAAACATATATGCACAAAACTGAAACATGCATGTATACAATTGAACAAATATTTCATGAAATAATGGTTACTCTGACCCAGAAGGAGGCACTGGAATTTTTTATTCTGTTCTATTTCATAAAAACAAACAAAAACAAAAACAAAACCCCTGCTAATCATGACCTGCTAAACTGTTTTCATTATCCAGTAGTAGATTGTGACCTCAGTTTGAAAAATGTTGCTTTAAGTCACCAATCCTCTAATGAGATTTAGACTGTTCATAATTCTCTCCTATTACAAACAGCACTGCAGTGAGCTGTTTTATACTCATTTTGTAACTATGTATTTCTGAGAGCAAGATCCCTGATTGTGTAATTACTATAATTCTGATAAAATGTAGCCAGCATGCTGGAAAACTGAACTCTAATCCCCTTCTGTTACCACCATGACATATAAACTGACATATAAACTTCTGTTGGCCAAGTCCCTGGGCCTCTCTGGGCCTCAGTTTCCCCATCAGTAACCTGCCGATCGCTACACCCTAGAGTGCGCTCTAAGTTGAAAGCAGATGCCCCACCCCCTGACTCAGCGAGCATAGAACTTCTCTCTGAATCTGACTCCCCCTTTTTCCACTCCCTGTTTGGAAGAGGCCCAGGGAAAAGGGAAAAGGCAGGTCTGGGCACGAGGGCCCGATGCAGGCAGGGCGGGGCAAGGGAAGGGCAAGAGGGAGGCCAGCCCCCAGTAGGAAATGAGACAGGGTAGGAATAACACTTTATAAGCCTGCCGCCTTCTTCCTCCTCCTGTCCCCTGGCCACCTTCCAGCCTCCTCCGTTCAGCCTCCTCCCCTTCCAGACAGTCCTCACTTCTTTCCCCCTAGGCTGCAGCCAGCTGGAGCCCCCTGCCTGTCTGAGCCAGGAGCCCAGGTGGGGTAAGAACCTCAGCCCCAGGATGTTGACAACTTTCCTGCTACTTCTGCGTCTGCTGCTCCTGCCCGGCTGGGCCTTTTGTAGCCAGGAAGCCTCCGATGGTGAGTCCGGGGCACATCTTCTTCCTCGGGATGGTTCTGGAAGCTCTCAGCCTGTCTGGGTACATGGGGAAGAGCAGAGGAGCCCTTCTCCCATGGTGCCTGTGGCTGCAGCCAGCCAGATCTCTCCGTAGGACAGGCAGGGTCCTGGGGACGGATTTGTGTCCCAAAGCCAAGGTGAGGAAGTGCAGTTCACCCAGGGAACAGAGTGATGAAAGAGACTGGGGGAACAGGACTGGAGAAATGGAAAGGGACGGGTAGAAAGGGTAAGGGGATCAGCCGTGGGGAGAGGGGGTGAGTCAGGAGAGGGAGCGCTGAGAGTGATGTGGATAGGGAAGACAGGAAGAGACTTGGGGAAGAGATGAGAGACGGAAGGAATAGGAAGCCACTGGAGAGACTGGGGGCTGAGAGAAGCAAGGCAGAACAGGAGCCTGGAGAAGGTGGAAGACGAGTGGCTGGAGGCGGGGGAAAGTCTGGGGAAAGAGAAGCTGTGGTCCATGGGTGAACTTACAGGGGTCAGGCTGCCTGAAGTGGCTGTTTAAGCAGAGAAAGGAGTTATTGCCCTGTATTGTGACCGCACAGGGACCTCCTCCCCCCTTTCCCACAATCTCCAGAGCTACAGTCCCCACCTCAGAGAGGGAGCAAATCACCAGAATTCTAGGAGCGCTCACTTCGGTTAATACATGCACTGACTCATCTAACTCCCATGATATCTCTATGGCAGGCAATATGGTTATCTCTATTTTACAGGGGAGGAGACTGGGCGCAGGGCAGTTAAGAACCTTATCTAGTGTTACCCACACAGATCTACCTATTCACACCTGCAGACAGAGCACAACGTGGACAAGACACACACACACACACACACACACACACGATTGACAACCCCAGACTCATCCCCTCCTCAAACATTCTCTGGACATCAACTCAATCCTGGACTAGGCCCTTAATAGGTGTAGAAGGAAGAGATAACCAGACTTGATTCCATAGCCTAGGGGAGCCCAGTGTAATCTGTGTATTTGGAGACAGTTACGTATTTGGAGACAGTTATTTGGAATCTGGGATCATTGAAACAGACTCACTGTGTCTGGGAGGGTATGTATGTATTTATTTATAGATTTTATTTACGAGAGAGCACAAGCAGGGGGAAGGGACATAGGAAGAGGGAGAAGCAGACTCCCTGCTGAGCAGGGAGCCTGATGTAGGCTCAATCCCAGGTCTATGAGACCATGACCTGAAACAAAGGCAGACGCTTAACCCTCTGAGCCACCCAGGCATCGCTGTGTCTAGGAGGGTAAAGAGGAGAGGCATTAGGAAAACTTCTCCAAGGAGAGGGCAACAGAGCTGGGTCTTAAAGCACGAACAGAAGTTTGCCTGGAGGCAGAGCAACCTGGACATGATATTCGCGTCAGTCCAGAGGCAGCATGAGGAACTCCAAGTAGTTTACTGTATCTAAGTACAGGAAGAGGCCAGAGAAGGCAGTTGGGATCTGGTCTCCTGCAGCCTTGAATGCCAACCTAAAGGCTTCAGACTTCATTCCTTGGACAGACATCCTATGGGGAGACAGTACAGCTGAGTGGCTAAAAGTGCTGGACTCACACTGCCTGCACTCAAACCTTGGATCTGCTATACAGTTTTAGCCTGCTTCCCTTATGGACCGAGGTTAATAACAGTAGCCACTGCACTAACCTAATGGGAGGAAAGCACAAATAAGATAATAATGTGTGTAGGTACAGTACTTGGCTCATAATAAGTACTTAATAGCTATTATTAGTACCTAATACTATTATTGATAGGCGAATGTGTCACTGGAGCATTTTAAGTAGGAGAAGGGCATAATCTTATTTCTGGGTCAGACGGAGGTGAGATTGGAAGGAGTGAAACTGAACAGTGAGGGCAGGGGGATGAAGAAGGAAGTTACTACCCAGGTCCAGATGAGAACCCATGAGGCCTGAAGTAGGGCAGTGGCTGAGGAGGCCGAGAACAGGAGATGGAATGGGATTTTACTGTAGGTCAGCATTTGTTGACCAACCGGAAATGGGGGTAGTTAGGGGTGAGAGAGAGAAAGATCGGAGTGGCTCTTCCACTGACTGGATTACCCTGGGGCAAGTGGCTTCTGCTCTTCCCAGCCTCAGTTTCCTTATCTGTAAGACGAAGATAATAATCCCTGTCCTCCGCTCCTGACAGGGTTGTGGGAGGATGGGTGGAAGAACACTTTATAACTATGAACGGCCGAGAAGGTGGGCGGCCAGCCTTTGGGTGGGGGGTTATTATCTCCAGCTTCACGCCGGCCCAAGGGCTGACGCGCTGACACCTACCCGCAGGCCCTCGGAACCTCCACATGCTCCAGATCTCCTACTTCCGTGACCCCTATCAAGTGTGGCACCGGGGCAACGCGTCGCTGGGGGGACTAAGGACGCACGTGCTGGAAGGCCAGGGCACCAACGTCACAATCCTCCAGCTGCAGCCCTTGGAGGCGCCCGAGAGCTGGGTGCACACAGAGGACCGTCTGAAGACCTACCTGAACGAGTTCCAAATGATGGTGCGGCTTGTGCACCATGAGCGGCGCTTGACCTGTGAGTGGCGCTCGCGCGCGGCGGGTGCAGCCTGTGCGCGGCGGGTGAAGGCGGACCCTGGCGGGTGAAGGCGGACCCTGGCGGGTGGGAGGTGTGGCCTGTGGGAGGGACTGATGGGGGCTGGCCTTGGGGGGAATGGGCGGGGCCCCAGGAAGGGGCGGGGTTCCCGGAGGGTCCTCGTGGATGGCTTGGTCTCGTGTGAGCTGGCTGCTCCGAGGACCCCAGGTGTCAGGGCACCTGCCTTTGCTGATTGCTGGGTGGGAGCTTGAGCCTGAAGAGGAGTGGGTGTCCTAGTTGCGGGCCCTCCGTCAGGCCCTCTTCCCACTGGCTTGACCTCGGGGTAGACCCTGTTGGGAGGCCCTGTCCCTGATCCGCCCTAAACCCCAAAAGTTTATGTTCCACCTGATGGACATCCTCCCACACCTAGCACCCTTCCACACAGCTCTCTCACCCTGAATCCCCCATCCACAGTTCCTCTGACCGTTCGCTGTTTCCTGGGCTGTGAGCTGCCTCCTGAGGGCTCTCCAGCCCAAGTCTTCTTCGAAGTGACTGTGAATGGGAGTTCCTTTGTGAATTTCCAGCCAGAGACAGCCTTATGGGTAGCAGGGCCCCAGGCACCCTCCAAGGTGGTCACCTACACTCTTCATCAGCTCAACTCCTACAATCGTACTCGGTACGAACTGCGAGAATTCCTGCAGGACACCTGTGTGCAGTACCTGCAGGAATATATCACTTCGAAAAACTCAAAAGGTATGATGGGATCGGGGATGGGCCTGTGTATTGGGTGGGTTCCAGGCAAATGGATAGACCTGAAGGATGAATACCTTGAGCAACAGGAGGCCCAGGGCTGGGGGTTTGGGACAGAGTATACACAGCTTATGTCACTTGGTGAACTAGCCCCCTTCCTTTGGGGTAAGAATTCCTTAGGGTTTGACTCAAACCATGGACAAGAATCTTGGGGGTATGTTCTTCAGGCTAACTCTGTGCATGTTCTGCAGGGAGCCAAACAGGCCGCTCCTACACTTCACTGGTCCTGGGTGTCCTGGTGGGCAGTTTCATCATCGCTGGTGTGGCTGTAGGCATCTTCCTGTGCACAGGTGGACGGCGGTGTTGATTACTCTCCAGCCCCCCTCTGAAAAAGGGCTGGACTGACAGGGGCTGGCAAGGGAAGATCTCAGCTCATGACAAAACCAAACAGATTCCCCATCTGGGATATTATATCCCAGAAGGTTTGGCATGGCAGCTCCTTTTCCCTGCTCCGCCCACCAAGAGTTTGGGGGAGGGGAAGGGAAGGGAAGGGAGGAAGCTAGGTAGACAGAGTTCTTGGTTTGCTGAGCACCTAAGAACTTGCATGCTTTGGCTGAACTGGTCTGAGAAGCGAATGCTTATCTATCTTTGTGGAAAACAGATGTTGGAGTTGGGTGGGGGTGGGGGATGTCTATGATACATCCTTCATAGACATAATTACCTGAGGCATTCAAAACACCTAACAAATATAAGAAGTCCATCCACAACCAAAATAAACAACATTCAGTGCTTCCAGGCACATCAGACTTGGGATGGGACGCTGGTAATAATAGAGGTAGACAGAAATAACCAGAGAAATGGTGAAAGTGTAAAATGTAAGTAATACGGGAGCAAAGAGTTATTAATTACTTAATAATATTATTAATAAATTCCTTACTTATGTATATGGCATTATTTTTTTTCCCTTTACTTTGCAAAACTTCTGGGAAAGTAGCCTATACCTTTTTCTTCTACTTCCTCATCTCCCACTCACTCCTAAACCACTGCAGCCTGACTTCCCTCTAAACTTCTTTAAGACCATCAGTGACCTCTAACTGTAAACTCTTCATCCCACATGATATCTGCAACATTTTCCTTTGTGGACTAGAACCCTCTTTTTACCCTGACTTCTGAGATACCATACTTCTAATTTTTAGAAACTGTTCTGGCCACTCAGTCAATCCCTTTGCCTTTGTCATCTTACTCAATTTACCTTGGAAGTGTGGCTTCCTTAGAATTCCATTTTTTGGCTCTTTTTGTTCTCATTTGAACTGTATCCTTTGTGGATGACCTACTAATTCTCACAGCTTCAAATGCCATCTATCTGCGGTGTTGTCCATGGGGAAGCAATATAATCTTGCCGTTGAAAGCAGGTGTTTTATCATCAAACAGACTTGAGTTTTACTTCTTTGAGCCAGGCATTTAACTTCTTCAAGTCTCAGTTTCTTCATAAACAAAGGGTATAATAAAATGTACCAAAAGGGTGTAATAAAAATAATACCTGCCTCTACCTCATAGAGGCATTACAAGTATGAAATAAGAATATACATATAATATAATATACATATATTCAATAAATATAGCACTTGCTGCTGACCTCCAGACCCCCCATTTACATTGATTCTTGAAAATCATCTCCACCTTAATATTTTGCAGACATTTCTAAGTCAACATGTTCCAAATTAAATTCCTTATCTTTCTCCCCAAACCCTTTCTCTCTCCTCTGTTGTTTACTATCAGTTAAACAGAATTACTATCAAATCATATCAGTGTAGAGACCTCAGTGTTAACCTTTATTTACTCCCTTTTCATCCCCACCTACAAAATATAGTATCTGTAGAATCTAATCCCCCTTTTCCACTCTCTTGCTTTTTTTCAAGATATGGTCACTCATCTCTCTGTCTGTGGCAGGCACAGAGGTGTGCCACCCAGTTCTACCTTCAAGGCAAGACTAGCCATTTAGCTACAGGGAGTTGAGGCAGCAGATAGCTAGCCTCTAGCTGCTTCAGTTCCTTCAGTGTCTGCCTCACCTGCAGAGAATAGTCCTGCAGGAGGTCCTGTTCCTCCTGGGGCTGTCCTCATCTGGTGACTGAGCAAAGCAAAGGTGTAAAGATTCAGCCATTCTGGTTCACTGCCGGACAATTCTGATAAGCAGTATTCACTCCAGAGTTCCTTGCCTGGGGGGCTGGGTCTCTGTCAGATCTACGTTGCAGTTTGACTTCTCCCTCCATTCAATCCTGCTTCCTTTCCCTAGTTAATATCTTCCACCTCAAACTGTCTTAGCATCGGCTTCCAGAAAACCCAACCTATGACTGACAATCTTTCTTTCTTTTTCTCTTTTCTTTTCTTTTGTTTTCTTTTCTTTTCATTCTTTCTTCCTTCCTTCCTTTTTTCTTTCTTTCTTTCTTTCTTTCTTTCTTTCTTCTTTCTTTTTTTCTTTCTTTCTCTCTCTCTCTCTCTCCAGATTGAAAGATTTTCTCAGTCTTGCATGTGGACTATGGCAGTAGCCTCCTCCTAACTATTTTCCTGGCCTCTAATTTCTCTGAGTTCTTATCCATCTACATGGCAATAAACAAACAAACAAACATAGATCTGATCATGTCATCGTTGTTCTACTTTGTAAATTCCCCAGATTTACTGAGCTAAATTTGGAATCCTCAAAATGATATTCAAGGCCTTGTACAATCAGGCCTCATCCTAAGTTTCAAATTTTGTATCCTACCACTTCTCTTCACCCCACTGTGCTTTAGGTTCTCAATTTTAAAAGGATATTTTTAAATAACAGAAGTAATACAACAATACTAGCAACACAGAAATTTACAAAGAAAGTTTTACAAAGAGAAAAGTGAAAGACCTATGCTTTCTCTTTCTCCCCAACTCTTATCTCAACAGTATGCCAAGATTCTTAGTTTCCAGCAACAGAAACCAACTCTGCCAACTTAAAGAAGAAATAAACATACTGGAAGGTTATCATGTAATCCTCAGTTTGATAGGAAGGCTAGCTAATTAAGCTCAGAAAATGGAACCAGGAATCTCAGCCAAAGTCACAACAGAGGAACAGTCTAGGTAAGGGGACCACAGCAGGAACCACTACCTCCATCACCATTGCATGCTGCCATCTTAAATGAATTCTGCTCTGTCCCTGTGTTTTTACACTATTTGCTCAAGATTCAAAGTCCTGATGGGAGCATCCAAATGACCAAGGTTAAATCACGTTGCTTTTGCCTTAGCTGCAAGAGGGGAAAAGGGAAACTCTATGGGATGTAGCAAGATTAGGGAGAAATGTATAGTGGTAAGTGCCTATATTAAAAAGAAATATCTCAAATCAAAAACCTAACTTTCCACCTAAAGAAGGTAGAAAAAGAGGAGTAATCCAAACCTAAATCAAGCAGAAAAAGGGAAATAATAAGTACTAGATAAAATAAGTAGAATAAAAACTAGAAAAACGATAAAGAAAATCAACAAAACCTCTTTTGTTGAAAAGATCAATAAAATTAATGAAACTTTAGGTAGACTTACCAATAAAAAAGTTATAAAAATGTTACAGAAATTACTTTAGAGAAATAAAAATGATTATAAGGAATACTACAAACAACTATATGCCTAATAAATTAGATAACTTGGATGAAATGGACAAGTTCCTAGAAAGACATCCATGCTTGACACAGATGCAGAAAAAAAATTGGAACCCTAAATAGATACAAAACAAATAAAGAGACTGAATTAGTAATTTTAGAACTTCCTACAAAGAAAAGCCCAGGCCCAAATTACTTCACTGGTGAATTCCACCACATTTAAAGAAGAATTAACATCAATCCTTGATAAACTCTTCCAAAAAATAAAAGAGGAGGGAACACCTTCCAGGCCATTCTATGAAGCCAATATTACTCTAACACCAAAACCACACAGAGACATTAGAAGACAACCACAAATATCTCTTATGACTAGAGACACAGAAATCCCTAACTAAATCCTAGCAAATTGAATCCAGCAATACATAAAAATGATTATACACTGATCAAGTGAGATTTATCTCAGGGATGCCAAGTTGGTTCAACATATGAAAGTCAATCAGTATAATACATCATATAAATAAAATAAAGGGCAAAATCCATACAGTCATCTCAATAGATGCAGAACAAGCATTTGATAAAATCCAATACCCTATCGTGATAACAACACTCAATGAACTAGGAATACAGAGGAACTTGTTCAACCTGATAAAGGTTATCTAAAATCCCAGGGGTGCCTGGGTGGCTCAATTGGTTAGGCATTTGTCTTTGGCTCAGGTCATGATTCCCGGGTCCTGGGATCAAGCCCCACGTTGGGCTCCCAGCTCAATGGGGAGCCTACTTTTCCCTCTCCCCCACTGCTTGTGCTCTCTCTTGCTATCTCTCTCTCCCTCTCTCTCTCAAATAAATAAACAAATCTTTAAAAAAATAAAAAATAAAATCCCACAGCTAACATCATACTTAATGATGAAAGATTGAAACTTTCCCCCCAGAATCAGAAATAAGACAAGGATTTCTGCTCTTTCTACTTAATTTCAATATGTATTATATTTGAGATTCTAGCCTGCACACTCAGGCAAGAAAAAGAAATAAAAGGCATCTGGATTGGAAAGAAAAAAGTATGAAGGTATACCTATTCAGAAATGACATGATCTTGTATATAGAAAATCCTAAAGTATCTACAAAAAACCCAAAAAACCTTGTTTATTAGATTTAATAAACAAGTTTAGTAAGGTTGCAGGATACAATATCAATATATAAAAATCAATTGTATTTCTATGCACTAGCAATGGACAATCCAATAATGAAATTTAAAAGAGAATTCCAGGGGCAACTGGGTAGCCCAGTTGGTTAAGCATCAGACTCTTTTTTTAAAAAAATCTTTTGTTTATTTATTTGAGAAAGAGAGAACAATCAGAGGGAGAGGAAGGGACAAGCAGACTCAGCGCTGAGCATGGACCCCGACATGAGGCTCAATCTCACAACCCTGAGATCATGACCTGAGCTGAAATCAAGAGTCAGATGTTTAACTGACTGAGCCACCCAGGCACCCCAAGCATCTGACTCTTGATCTCAGGGTCATGAGTTCAAGCCCCATGTTGGGATCTACACTGGGTGTGTAGCCTACTTTAAAAAAAGAGGGGGGGAGCACCTGGGTGGCTCAGATGGTTGGGCATCTGCCTTCAGCTCAGGTCATGATCCCAGCGTCCTGGGATCGAGCCCCACGTCGGGCTCCTGGCTCAGCAGGTAGTCGGCTTCTCCCTCTCCCTCTGCCTCTCCCACTGCTCATGCTCTCTCTCTGTATCTCTGTGTCTCA